AATGAGGGAAAAAATGGGGAAAATGAGAGTGAAACGAGGGAAAAGTGAGGGGAAAATGGGGAAAAGGGGAAAACATGAGGGGAAAACGAGGGAAAAGTGAGGGAAAAACTGGGAAAAATGAGAGGGAAAAGGGGGAAAAATGAGGGGGAAAAATGAGGGAAAAACTGGGGAAAATGAGGTGGAAAAAATGAGAGGGAAACGAGGGGAAAGTGAGGGAAAAAAATGAGGGAAAAAAGGGAAAAACATGAGGGGAAAAAACAAGGAAAAATGAGAGGGGAACGTGTTAAAAATGAGGGGAAAACTGGGAAAAATGAGAGGGAAAATGAGGGGGAAACGGGGAAAAGCAAGGGAAAAAAATGAGGGGAAAAGGGGAAAAATAATGGGGAAAAGTGAGAGAGAAAGAAGGGAAAACCGGGAAAAATGAGGGGAAAAAATGAGAGGGAAAAAGGGAAAAAAATGGGGAAAATAAGAGGGAAATGAGTTAAAAATTAGGGGAAAACTGGGAAAAAATGGGGGGAAATGAGAGGGAAACAAGGGAAAAGTGAGGGAAAAACTGGGAAAAATGAGGGGAAAAAATGAGGAAAAGGGAAAAAATGAGAGGGAAACAAGGGAAAAGTGAGGGGAAAACTGGGAAAAATGAGGGGAAAAAATGAGAGGGAAAAAGGGAAAAAAATGGGGAAAATAAGAGGGAAATGAGTTAAAAATTAGGGGAAAACTGGGAAAAAATGGGGGGAAATGAGAGGGAAACAAGGGAAAAGTGAGGGAAAAAATGAGGGGGAAAAAGAGTTAAAAATGAGGGAAAAAATGGGGAAAATGAGGGGGAAAATGAGAGGGGAAAGTGAGGGAAAAAATGAGGGGAAAAAGGGGAAAAAATGAGGGGGAAAAACGGAAAAATGAGGGGAAAAAATGGGGAAAATGAGAGGGAAACGAGGGAAAAGTGAGGGAAAAAAATGAGGGGAAAAACTGGGGAAAATGAGGGAAAAAATGGGGAAAATGAGAGTGAAACGAGGGAAAAGTGAGGGGAAAATGGGGAAAAGGGGAAAACATGAGGGGAAAACGAGGGAAAAGTGAGGGAAAAACTGGGAAAAATGAGAGGGAAAAGGGGGAAAAATGAGGGGGAAAAATGAGGGAAAAACTGGGGAAAATGAGGTGGAAAAAATGAGAGGGAAACGAGGGGAAAGTGAGGGGAAAAAATGAGGGGAAAAGGGAAAAAATGAGAGGAAAAATGAGGGGCAAAAGAGTTAAAAATGAGGGGGAAAGAAGGGAAAATTGAGGGGAAAAATGAGGGAAAAGTGAGGGAAAAACTGGGGAAAATGAGAGGGAAAAGGGGAAAAAATTGGGAAAAATGAGGTGGAAAAAATGAGAGGGAAACAAGAGGAAAAGTGAGGGAAAAATTGGGAAAAATGAGGGGGAAAAAGGAGAAAAATGAGGGGAAAAATGAGAGGGAAACAAGGGGAAAGTGAGGGAAAAAGGGAAAAATGAGAGGGAAACAAGGAAAAAGTGAGGGAAAAACTGGGAAAAA